CTGTTTAAAGCCCTGAGGCAGATAACAAGTTCATTTGCATAGTATTTTTGCATTTAAAGAGAGTAAATGCATACGTGTATGTGCTTGTTCTGCTGCTGACATTTTCACCACTTGGCATTTAAACATATTCAACACGCAATGAGTTGTAGCTTCCTCCAATCCCTGGATCAGGTGAAACGGATGAGAGGCGCAGCCTACAGCAGCGAGCAGAAATAAGAATCGGGGTGTGCGGGTGATTTAATAGAGATTCCAAAATAGAAATTTAAATAGAAGTTGTGTTTGTTGGAACGTACAGTTAGGAAATTATTTTTCACAATCAGCCAGGAAATGAGGTCAGTTTTATGCCACTGCCTGTCAAGGTAGTGTCAAGGTCATAGGACGTTAAAGATGAGTGTTGATGGGAACAATGTTGCCTTTATTTCTCACAAATAATTTGTGACTGCTCTGATTTTCTGACTTTCTGGCATATTAATGTTGTCTGAAGACCTTTTTCAAAATGTTGTACAATAGCATTGATGTTTAAAAGCAACATTTTATATGCATTTTAATAACAGTAATCATATTTTTGTCTATTGTTTTTTTTTTTTCATGTAACACCATTTCTGCACTCATAGTCTACACACAGAAGAGACACCATACCCACCATCCAGTGAGTGTGTGCCCGTTTATAAACATGTATCTATTTCTTCTGCCTGAGAAGAAACTGGGGGTCGGTGTGTGGGTGTGTGGGTGTGTGGCGGGTGGATGTATGAAGGAGAAAGCTCTGACAGACTTTGCATGTGAATGGCCGGGGTCCTGTGAACCTTCTGCTCCCTAGCTCCGCACTCAATGGCATCACTGCAGTTAGCATGACAAACTAGGCTCCAAGTTCTCGGACTTTTTGAGACAGCCTCTCCCTCCACACCCCCACCCTCAACAGCCCCACCCATCAATGTCCTGACTCCACCATAACAAACCCGTTACCCCCAACTTGCTCCTCAGTGCTTTGGGCTGGGCCTAAAGAGTTTATTTGGTGTCTGGGGGGATACCAAGTTCAGGGGAGCCAAGGAGATGACCCCTGCAAACAGACACACACACGTCCTGAGTGTGAGAGAAAATTTAAAATTGCACGATCACCGGTTTTAAGTATGAATTGTTTTCTTCTTTGTTATATACACCCGAATTAAAAAGAGGTTTCATTCCCAGCCTTTTTCCTTTCTCATTTCAGCTTCCCTTACACTCCAACATCACATTAACACATTTCATAAAGCCAGCCCTTCATTATACGTGAGTATGATAGCAGTCATTGGAGTCTGGAATTAGAACACTTACATAAGAATTCCGTTTGGTTTTTCAAATGCTGGAATGGCATCAGTGGGCCTCAGCTGAGCTCGGATCCTTTGGGTGCTGTTGCCATGAAGTAAAAACACGTTACCTGTACTGTGCGGTATATCCTATTTGCAATCCAAAGATGCCCACTTTTTGTTTAGTTATGTTAATTTACTTATTACCACATGTGCTCATTGGCGTACACATCTTTGCGTGTTTTCTTTGAGTTCTGTGGCTCTAATCGTTTGGCTCGTTAGAAAACGTCGCTCAATTATTTGAGCTCAGCATGATAATATCTGGTAAAATAAATAGATCCAGTTGTCAGTGGATTGTGTTGTGTGAATAAAAGCACTACATCTTGTGATGACTGCAATGCAGTTAATAAGGGCTGCTCCTTATTTTGTAGTGTTTGTGCTGATGGTCTCTCTATAAAACACACAACACCCAGAATACACTCCAAGCTGATGTCATCTTACAAAGGACAATTAAGATGCTGTTTTATGAGCCCAGCTTGGAGAGTTAAATCATACTGTACTTAAGAGCATTTTTGAAATATATGCACACAAATAATCCATGGAAATACGCTCTTGTACATAACAGGCTAAATATCTTATTTACTGGGACTCCTCATTCAAGCTGATTGGTTTTTCGTGATTTGTGTTATTGTGCTAAAACAAATTAATTATCCTGTGTGGTTTATATAATTAACCTCTTGCACAAAAGCAGCAAATCATAGAACTTGCTTGTGTGTGTTTTTTAAAGGGTGCTAACAACGCGCTCCAAAATGATGGAGAAAAATGATAGTAATTCAAATATTTCTGTGCTAAAATAAAATCATTTCAATCATTCGTTAAAATATACAATTCAAAGCTTTCAAATTTTGATGCTGTTTGTTTTTTCCAGCACATTTAATGGAATTAACACAAAGAATATAAACAAAGATCTAAATGCTTTCTTAGCCACAGTTTACATGCAATGAAAAAACCAATAAAATTCACACCGGCATTAAAATTGTTTATTTGTTTTTCTAGCCACCAAGCTCTGTGCAGCTCTGTCCTGCTGTTACAGGCCTTTGTTCTGCTAACAACCAGGATGTTAGAGACTCTTCATTGACAAACAAACAGCTGAGCTATTAAAAGACAATTAGCTCGCCCCGGAGGCTTTACTTAGGTCAATAAAGGGCTGCTTTTACAACTCAATGAGCTAACAAATTAGTGTGTTGGTCAGGTTTTAAAGACTTTTAATAAACTCTTGCGTGGCTGTGTTAATGTTTTTCTGTGATCTGTTTATTAATTGTATTTCATGTAGTACTATAGATATATTTGAAACCATAAAAAGGTAGAAAAAAGAACACTACAAGAAATTTCACAATGATTCAAAGGAGACATGACTAACAAAGCTGATGAAATATATAAATGTAATTACATGTAAAATAAAAACAACCAATTCTATTTTTTTTACACAACCTTCTTTTGTGTGTGTGTGTTTTTACGCTTGTCTTCACATTTGCCATCAGGAGGGAGCAGGCCTCGCTGTCAGAGTTGTAACCTGTATACAGACTTTATGTGACATGATCCGTAACTCTATCTATAGGTGTTATGGTATCATTGCCACCATTAAAGAGGTTTTCCACCTTCCCAATGACCTCCGCCTCGCCTCACAGGACACAGAAAACGACCTGATGGCAATGTCTTTCACTGTACAGAGGCTACGACGAAATGCATGTGTGTGTATGTGTATGACAGCAGCTGTGTGTGTGTGTGTGTGCCTGTGCACGGTCGGTCACTTCACATACAGTGTCTTTAGAAAGAGTTCAGCCAGTAGGACTCGGCCTTCTCCCCGGTGAGAGTGAGGGAATCTAGCACGGCCAGTAAGCATGTATATCAGGCCATCTCACGGCTGGCTGGACGCTCCCTGGGTGGCCCACTGTGGTCAATACGGCACTGGTGACTGGACACACAGAATGGGATAATCTCCTACTTTCTTTCAGGGCCATGGTGCACACACATACACACGAACACACACACAGATCTCCTTTTATGCCGGTCTGGCCACGGTGGCTTGCCTGGGCCTAATTTCAGGTCAGGACCACTCACGGGGAGGCCGAGGGCTGGGAAGCCTGGAGTGAGCGAGGGGACAGCATGGTTGGGGGAGAGTGCGGGGAGGGGGCTTGAAAGGAGAGCAGGGAGCCCATTTCACCCAGAGCACTGGAGCACACTGGGGGCACTGGGGCATTGCCTCTACTGGCTGTTGAGGGAAAACAAAAGGAGGTGTGATCTCCACAAAAATAGGACTGCCCGTGTATGCGTGTGTATGTGGTTATAAATGTGTATCATTGTTTAGAGTTTCCTTCAGCTTCAGCAATTCGCTTCAACACCCCTGCTGCTCACATACAAAGGCACCTAATTGACACTACAGATTTAGGCCACTTGCTTTAACTGTTCCCCTTCCAACCCTTCAGCCACTGCTGGAATAATCAGAGTAATCTAAATAAACAGGTTCCTATAGCTTCAGAAAATGAAGCATCTGTGCTTTGTTGTGCTGTGCTAAAGGATCAAGCTCGGTGTGTTTGTTGTCATTAAAGCCTGTGAAAGTGGCGAAACCAGAAATTTGTTAAACACCTCTCAAAACTTTCCCAGTCTGATTCTATCTGTGGGTTTTAGCCACAAATAACAGTGGCCAAAACCCACAGTGGAAGATATTTTTTTTAGTAGGCCAAATGATTTCCTAAGGCAGCTGGGAACTGTAGCTTTTAGCAAATTGGACCCCAACAAGACTAAAGAGCATATTTGTTAGAGAAGTCATTTGGAAAAAGTAATTAGGAGCGAGCATAGTGTATTGGCAAAGTAAATTCCAGTGAGCAATAAGACATATCAAGCTTTGGAAAGTAATACCAAAATTATTTCTGTTTGTGTTTTCATTGAATTATTTGACATTATTGAAAATATGAAACATGATCAGTCCTATAACTTTACTGTATGCTTCAGGTATAATCACAACTATTAAAAATAAACATTTCTGGCAGATATAAAAATGATACTTCAGTAGAAAGAAAACCCAACACAGGCAGTTTTTCATTTCACAAATTGATCAACTTTATTCAAAATATGAATATCCCATTAGAACAACACTTTTGGCATTTTGCAATATCGTTCAGTGTTTTGTGATGAACGTATTTCTTTATAGAAAAAGATTCTCTAAATATACATGTGTACATAATGTCGCACCAGCAAAGAGGAAAGTAATTCAACAACAGCAAACTCTCGTTGAATGATTTTACAATCAAATACTTGAATGTAAATTACAGAGTGAAAAAGAAAGACCCCTTGTGGTCTCATCCAATCTCCGACCTAAAATTGGTCTCAAATATAGTAATTCATATCTAATGAAACTAATTTTGGAAAATATTGTTCGGAAGCTCCATTTTACACTTTAGACAGCACTTAAATTGATTCAACCTCTAAACTTACCTTTTAGAAGCAGCACTGACTTACCTGTTACCATCCACAAAGACGAGCGCCTAGACAGAGGATAATCAGACTCTAATGATGTGTGTCTAAGTGACTGCTCTTGCAGGTGTAGAGGTGGCATTTTCCATATGTGGCCAAGGCTAAACGTGTTCAAAGAAATTGGCTACAGATAGCGTGCACGCTTTGTTATTCAGGTGGAAGCTCAAGAGTCAATTTTATCTTCACGGTGGCTTTTCTGACTGCATCTGTGAAGATACAAGCATGTAAAAAAGAGACTCATTAGTGAATAGAAAATGCAATACTGCATGCAATGCAAAACTGTGCAGTTAGTCCAGAAATATTCTTCTAATTCCAAGTGTCCTTTAGTGTATGTTAATTAAGCATATGGGGATTTCTGCAGAAAACCACCAACAGGAAGAGCTGTTTCACATGAAGATGTACTTTATTTAAATCACATGAGCTCTCTGCAGATATGCAGTGACGATGATGCTGCCTTTGTCATCATCACCCCAGACATACCAAACTGTTAATGTTTACTAGATGGGGGAGGGCGCATGAAGGCAAGTGCATGTCCGTTTGTTTGTGCGTCTATCAGCTGTCTGCATCGCGAATGTGCATGACCCCTGAGCAAGCAGACAGTCATGGGTCAGAGGTCAAGATAGAGCCCTGTCTGGGCTTCCTGGCTGACCCCAATGCCTGAAGCACAAACACAGATACACACACACACACGCGCGCTTAAGGGGGAAGGGTTGCCCCCTATGAGACTAATATCACCTTTGGGATTAGAATCCAGACAGAAATACATTGACCCAAACAGGCGCGCACACACACACAGTCTCAGATGCAGGATTTGCTTGGTCATAAAACACGAGTGGCGTTGTACAGCAGAGAGGGGCAGCAGAGATGCTGAGTCTGAGAAGGCCATCCAATTATCGTTCAATGCTGAAGTAAAGAGGAGACCAGAGGAGACGCGGGAGGTCCAGCCCTCATCATAGTGAGCAACGAAAGAAGCTAGCACATAGCTACCTAGCTACACTGGGTTGTTATTCTTGCAAGGCTAGAGGATGCCAAGGATAAACTCATACAGTATGTAAGATAGCTACTATGACACCGGATTAAAGGGCTTGTGAATAAAAAAGATAGCATGTCCTTCCTGTCATAGAGTATATAAAGTATTTTAGCTGTTATTTAAACCAAACAACTGATGTATCTGCTGGAATTGGGAGCCCAGAGGACCAATCTGGGAAAGAAATCAGCATGCCTGACTCTTGTAAAAAAAAAA